GATCAACTGTGACTTGACTAGACTCATGACTATCAGCTGTGACTTGACTAGACTCATGATAATAAACTGTGACTTGACCTGACTCATGATGATCAACCGTGACTTGACTAGATGCTGTTGTGTCCGCCATCTTGTGAGTGTGCTCCGCTGTCGTCGCCATCTTGTGAGCGTGCTCTAGTGTGGCCGCTATTTTGCGCTCAGGCTCCGCTGTTGCCGCCATTTTGTGAGCGTGCTCTGGTACAGCCGCCATTACACGAGTGAGTGCGGGGTCGCTTTCCTCCGCGATACCCACAGTGAACGTTGAACCACCAGACAACAGAGCATAATCCATAAAATCACTTAGAGAAGAACGGGGACCCTCACGGATAAATCGTGTCTTTAAAGGTTCATTGATACCCTCACAAAAAAAAAGTCTATGAACACACAGTCCGGCAGATCAGAAAAATATGCGAGATCTAAATACTCTTGTACATAATCCTCGAGCACTCGCAAGCCCTGCTCGTGGGTTAATAACAGTCTTGAAGTGTCCATACCTGACCAATGTCCACATGAAAAGCTGCTGGATCCTTGTGTGGCTGAGTATTCTGTTACGGGGCAAGCGAGACGTGAGACGTGCGGATCCATCTGCAAAGCTTTTATTTAAAGGCGTGGTCATAAAACAGGCAAGGTTCTGACGATGGCAAACAGGTATATTCAATTCAATTCAATTCAAGTTTATTTGTATAGCGCTTTTCACGATACAAATCGTTGCAAAGCAACTTTACAGCAACAGAAGCAATCAATTGTAGTATTAAAACTAAAAACAGATCCAAAACTAAAACCTAAAACTTTATAAATACTACTTATACACATTTTAAAAATAAATTAAATAAAAATAACAAATGCTTACAACAAAATTTCAAAACTTAACATTTAAATGAAAAAAAAATAAAAAATAAAGCTAAAAACAATTCAAAATATTAAAGAACAAAAGGTATAAGAGTATAATAATGATTCTAACATAACACTAAGCCAAACACCAAAAAACAACTACATATATGTGTATGTGCAACCACACACACATTCTGTAACGCGGCTGACGAGACGTGAGACGTGTGGATCCATGTGCAAGCTTTTATTGAAGAGAAGACAGAGACGTGGTCATAACAGGCAGGGTCGAACAATGGCAAACAGGTATATGGCGGGCAAAACACAAGAATAGTCCTAGAGCTAGCGTAGGTCAACGATAGGCAGACAGAATCACAGGGGCGAGACTATAGGGAAAAATCCAGGAAGACAGGCAAAGATCAGAACCGAGGAAAACCAACAAGGCAAGGCAAGGCAAAACAAGGAAACACGGGAAAACTAACAGGCTAAACAATACTCAGCCCAGAAAGCTAGCGTAGGTCGACGATAGGCAGACAGAATCACAGGGGCGAGACTATAGGGAAAAATCCAGGGGGACAGGCAAAGATCAGAACCGAGGAAAACCGACAAGGCAAGGCAAGGCAAGGCAAAACAAGGAAACACGGGAAAACTAACAGGCTAAACAATACTCAGCCCAGAATGGTTGTTTGAGTGGGTGTTATATAGTGAGTGCGTGATATGAAACAGCTGTGCAATTAGTGCTAAGTGCAATCAGAGAAACAGCTGTGTGCAATCAGTGCTGTGTGCAATCAGTGCAATGAATGATGGGATATGTAGTCCGGGGTGCTATGCAACAGTTTGTGTAGTGCGAGAGTCAATGTAACGGAAAGAGTGACCTCTGGTGGTGAATGAACGGAAGTCCCTGGACAGGATTCGTGACACATACATATATATATATATATATACATACACATTTATAAAATCAGTATATAGACATACTATACAGTATGTATACCTATACAGACTAAAATTAAAATAAATGACAAATACAAATAATACAAATCAAACGACAGTAGTTTATCAGTAATCCTAAAAAATAACACTGCCAAAGTGATGGCTGCCGCGGTAAACTATGCTTTTTTATACCCGTCTAACAAAATACTAAATTAATTCAGCTGGACACACTTTCCTTATTTTTTCACAACAAATGGCCAAGCAAGCGCAGACACTGACAAGATACCCGATACAGACCAAACGTGATATCAACACGTCTCCACACAAAATGCGGCGAAAAGTCCTACATGACGGTAATAATGTGATTAAGGTGTTTACATGTCTATTCTGCACTTCAGTAATGTTACTAAAATTGGAATACTCCACATGTCTTAATTAAATTTCTGTTTACTTGGATTATGACTTTAGCCGGATTATGGTCATCAAAAATGTCTTGTTTACATGGTAGATTCTTAATTAGAGTATTGTCTTAATCGTATTAAAATCGGAGTATTGTTGTCCATGTAAACTTACTCACTGACTCATTTGGTGTTCACTATATAATTAGTGTCTTTTAGTCAGTCTTGGTCAGTCATTGTATTTGCTGTTTGCACTCCCATGCATTATGTTCCCGGCTGTATTATATGTGTCTATGTTTTTCTTTAAAAAAACTTTTGCTGCATTCAGATCTTTGCCTCACCTCACCCTTGCCACCATTATAACAAGAGCAGGGTACTAGTAATACCAAGGTAATGGGTTTGATTCCCAGGAAATGCATTATGAAATATACTCTGAACACAATGTATTGTTATTTATAATTCATGTAAATAACACGTCATTTACATGAATTATATTATATTTATACGAACCTTCAAATGAATCTTCATAATTAACAATATATCCATGCTTCAGTTTCTTCAGGATCTCGACTTCCTGTATGACTTTGTCCATTTCCTTCATCTAAAGGCAACATTTTAAATTTATGGTATTTGTAGCTTAAAAAAGCACTTATATTTAAAAGTTACATTCCTATTGCAATTGCAAAATAACATATTTAATAGTGTTTTTAAGAGCAAACAAAAGATACTGATTGTACTTACATCTCTGTAATATATCTCCTTGACTACATAGAGATCTCCATCTGGACTCTTCACCAGAAATGCTATTCCTGACACTGCTCTTCCAAGTTCTTTCATTATAGTGAGTTCATATTTTTCCAACACTCCTGTTCAAAATTCAGTGCAATTACTACAAAGTACAATAACCATATCACCTTTAAAAAATAGGAAAAAGCATTCTGCTTAAATACAGTGTGAATGTATAGTATATACCTGTACTCTACCCAGTAGCGAACTGTGACTTTTGAACCTTGGCCCTCTCCCCCTACCCTCGTAGGGGGGGACAACAGACTACCAGCTTAGCTTACAGAGTCTAATTCTAAAAGTCATCTTTGACAATTCCACCTTTGAAAAAATAGGCTATTCCAGCCTTAATGCGGTCACATACCGGACGAGAAGCGCAGTGATGCGCCACACCATGTCTTTAAAGGAATACTCCACCGCAAAATGAAAATTTTGTCATTAATCACTTACCCCCATGTCGTTCCAAACTCGTAAAAGCTTCAATTTAAGATATGTTGGTTGAAAACTGGGAGCCTTGTGACTGTCCCATTGACTGTCTAGTAACTTACACTGTCAAGGTCCAGAAAAGTATGAAAGACATCGTCAGAATAGTCCATCTGCCATCAGTGGTTCAACTGCAACGTTATGAAATGACGAGAATACTTTTTGTACGAAAAATAAAATCATGACTTTATTCAACAATTTGTCTCCTCTGTGTCTCTCCGCATCACCGTAGCGCCATTTTGGAGAATATCTGCTGAACGCAAGCAGCTTACGCTCTTCTGTGTCAGCCTCGCTGCACGGATGTGCTGTTTTTGATCAAAGCGTAAATACACGTAGAAAACGTATCCTTGTGTCGCGACTGACACAGAAGAGCATAAGCTGCTTGCGTTCAGCGGATATTCTCCAAAATGGCGCTAAGGAGATTTTTGTGTGAATTGTGTTCCGAAGACGAACAAAGCTTTTCCGGGTTTGGAACGACATGAAGGTAAGTGATTAATGACAAAATGTTCATTTTGGGGTGAAGTAACCCTTTAATATTCGAACACATTGTTTTGTACACGCGCACTGGCGGCACCACCGGCCTCCGTGCTTTGACTACAATAGACCGCACGGTCTTATTCTGTTTGCTCAGGAGATTTTTGTGTGAATTGTGTTCCGAAGACGAACAAAGCTTTTCCGGGTTTGGAACGACATGAAGGTAAGTGATTAATGACAAAATGTTCATTTTGGGGTGAAGTAACCCTTTAATATTCGAACACATTGTTTTGTACACGCGCACTGGCGGCACCACCGGCCTCCGTGCTTTGACTACAATAGACCGCACGTTCTTATTCTGTTTGCTCTGTTTTTGTTTGTTTGTTTTTTTTTATCACCAAACTTCAAACTCATTGACACCACTTGCTCATTCTTGAAGTGAATGTTTGACTGTTTGCAGAGTAGACTAAAGGTTTTGGACTGCCAACTCGAACTGAACGTGACGCATCCAGTGTCCAATTTCAATTTCACTTTATTGTTGGAATTTCTTCCAAAAATTGTCTTGCATTCTGTTTACTGTCTTAACATTAATTCACATCAATACACATTACAAAATACAATACATACATACAAAAAAGGAAAATACTTAAAACATAAGTATGTTAATACACATCAGTCTGCAGTGCAAATACTTAAGTCCCTTCCATTCCTCAGAATCATGCAGCCTACTTAGATCCCCTAATTCTGATTAATTAATTTTACGGACTAATGTACAAAATATTCCCATAATCTGATCATTCTATCATACGGTACTCTCAGCATTCTATTCGATGGCAAACGTTGATATTCCTCATACGAAATATGGGGAAAATCAGACATAAATTTACCTGTCAGTGACAAAATGTTTTTTATTGTACAACTCATGAAAACTTGGCTTATTTGACCCCATAATCTTAGAACAGATATCAATCCCACCAGTCGAGTTGATCAGAGATGTACATATTCAATATTGTACAATACTGTATTACAGATTGAAAAAAAAAAAAAACATGAACAAAATCAGTTTGTTAGCTCCAAAAGACCTTAGTCTCCTGGAAATAAATACACTGTTGTACTTTACAACAAACTGTCACGCCCATGGACTGTATGTGTGTGTTTTTCTCCCCACGTGCTCCCTGTGACCCAGTTTCTCCCATGTGTGATTGTCTCATTTGGTTCAGATGGGACTGTATGTTTTCTCCCCACGTGCTCCCTGTGACCCAGTTTCTCCCATGTGTGATTGTCTCATTTGGTATTTGGTTGTCTAGTTAATTACCTAGTTTAGTCCTGTATTTAAAGTGTTGTCTGCCCTATGTTCCCTTGTCCTTTGTTAAACATCTTGATGGAGCTACGTGTGCCTCCAGTCTGCCCTGTGTTTCCCTGTGTTTGGATTATTAAAGACTGTTGTTTATGATTATCCCTCGTCTCAGCGTTCCTTGCTCCTCTCTGTAGCAATCGTGACACAAACATACTCTATATGTGCACTCCATGTTAAAGCAGCGTCCACATAGACACCCAAGTAATAATAGATAATTTCCTGTCTTATTTAATTTATAACAAGTGAACTACTCTCACACCACTCCATTAATCTGTCTGTACAATACTGATGCATGCTGAAATCATCTTCAATCCCCAATAAAGACAATATCACTGTGTCATCTGAGAACTTCAATATGTATGTTTTTACACTGTCAGATTTACAATCATCTGTATACAAAGTAAAAAGAAAAGGTGAACTTACAACTCACTCCTGAATAAGTGACTATGGAATTTGAATATGTTTGATTAACTCTATCTGTGTTCTACCTATCAAAAATAAATAATACCAATGAATCAAATAAGGATTTACTTTCATTTGAATCTTTTTTGACATTAGAATCTCTGGCTGTATTGTATTGAATGCAGAAGTGAAGTCCAAAAAGAGGGCCTGAGCTATAGTTTTAGGCTTATCCAGATGTTCCAGGATCAAACGTAACAATGTTACTACTGCATCTTCAGTACTATGATTGTGCTTATATGCAAACTGACAAGTGTCTAAATGACCCTCTACTGACTTTAGGAGTTGTTTTTTCCACAATTTTCTCTAAAGTTTTCATAATAATAGGAGTTAAGGCTATGGGCCGAAAATTACCCAATTCCTCTGCCCCAGATTTCTTTGGAAGAGGTATTACATGTGAAGTCTTCCACATATCAGGGATAACGTAAGTACCTATGGACCTCTGAAAAATAGGCTGCCATACAGGTGTTATGGGGCGAACGAGACGTGAGACATGCGGATCCATATGCAAGGCTTTATTAAAGGGTGTGGTCATGAAACAGGCATGGGTCAGACAATGGCAAACAGGTATATTAAGGGCAAGACAGAAGAGTAATCCAAAACGGGCGTGGTCAAGCAGCGGCTAACAACACGCGCACTGGCGGCACCACCGGCCTCCGTGCTTTGACTACAATAGACCGCACGTTCTTATTCTGTTTGCTCTGTTTTTGTTTGTTTGTTTTTTTTTATCACCAAACTTCAAACTCATTGACACCACTTGCTCATTCTTGAAGTGAATGTTTGACTGTTTGCAGAGTAGACTAAAGGTTTTGGACTGCCAACTCGAACTGAACGTGACGCATCCAGTGTCCAATTTCAATTTCACTTTATTGTTGGAATTTCTTCCAAAAATTGTCTTGCATTCTGTTTACTGTCTTAACATTAATTCACATCAATACACATTACAAAATACAATACATACATACAAAAAAGGAAAATACTTAAAACATAAGTATGTTAATACACATCAGTCTGCAGTGCAAATACTTAAGTCCCTTCCATTCCTCAGAATCATGCAGCCTACTTAGATCCCCTAATTCTGATTAATTAATTTTACGGACTAATGTACAAAATATTCCCATAATCTGATCATTCTATCATACGGTACTCTCAGCATTCTATTCGATGGCAAACGTTGATATTCCTCATACGAAATATGGGGAAAATCAGACATAAATTTACCTGTCAGTGACAAAATGTTTTTTATTGTACAACTCATGAAAACTTGGCTTATTTGACCCCATAATCTTAGAACAGATATCAATCCCACCAGTCGAGTTGATCAGAGATGTACATATTCAATATTGTACAATACTGTATTACAGATTGAAAAAAAAAAAAAACATGAACAAAATCAGTTTGTTAGCTCCAAAAGACCTTAGTCTCCTGGAAATAAATACACTGTTGTACTTTACAACAAACTGTCACGCCCATGGACTGTATGTGTGTGTTTTTCTCCCCACGTGCTCCCTGTGACCCAGTTTCTCCCATGTGTGATTGTCTCATTTGGTTCAGATGTGTCTAGTTAATTACCTAGTTTAGTCCTGTATTTAAAGTGTTGTCTGCCCTATGTTCCCTTGTCCTTTGTTAAACATCTTGATGGAGCTACGTGTGCCTCCAGTCTGCCCTGTGTTTCCCTGTGTTTGGATTATTAAAGACTGTTGTTTATGATTATCCCTCGTCTCAGCGTTCCTTGCTCCTCTCTGTAGCAATCGTGACACAAACATACTCTATATGTGCACTCCATGTTAAAGCAGCGTCCACATAGACACCCAAGTAATAATAGATAATTTCCTGTCTTATTTAATTTATAACAAGTGAACTACTCTCACACCACTCCATTAATCTGTCTGTACAATACTGATGCATGCTGAAATCATCTTCAATCCCCAATAAAGACAATATCACTGTGTCATCTGAGAACTTCAATATGTATGTTTTTACACTGTCAGATTTACAATCATCTGTATACAAAGTAAAAAGAAAAGGTGAACTTACAACTCACTCCTGAATAAGTGACTATGGAATTTGAATATGTTTGATTAACTCTATCTGTGTTCTACCTATCAAAAATAAATAATACCAATGAATCAAATAAGGATTTACTTTCATTTGAATCTTTTTTGACATTAGAATCTCTGGCTGTATTGTATTGAATGCAGAAGTGAAGTCCAAAAAGAGGGCCTGAGCTATAGTTTTAGGCTTATCCAGATGTTCCAGGATCAAACGTAACAATGTTACTACTGCATCTTCAGTACTATGATTGTGCTTATATGCAAACTGACAAGTGTCTAAATGACCCTCTACTGACTTTAGGAGTTGTTTTTTCCACAATTTTCTCTAAAGTTTTCATAATAATAGGAGTTAAGGCTATGGGCCGAAAATTACCCAATTCCTCTGCCCCAGATTTCTTTGGAAGAGGTATTACATGTGAAGTCTTCCACATATCAGGGATAACGTAAGTACCTATGGACCTCTGAAAAATAGGCTGCCATACAGGTGTTATGGGGCGAACGAGACGTGAGACATGCGGATCCATATGCAAGGCTTTATTAAAGGGTGTGGTCATGAAACAGGCATGGGTCAGACAATGGCAAACAGGTATATTAAGGGCAAGACTGAAGAGTAATCCAAAAAGGGCGTGGTCAAGCAGCGGCTAACAATATCCAGAGGGCTTGACACGAGGGGTTATCCAATAACACTAGCTAGAGTCCAGGCGTGGTGCAAACACAGTCCGAAACAGCAGGCAAAGGGTTAATCCAAGATAAACAGGCAATAATCAGGTAACACGGGAAAGCAGGCAAGACAAGACTATGACTAGGAACTAAGGACTAGAAACTAGGACAGGAAACTGGCTCCGTAATGTGCTACCACTAGGAGAGTGATAAACGCAAACAATACTCGGCGTTGAATGGTGGCGTGAGACTGATTTATATAGTGTGTGTTATTGGTAGCAGCTGTGTGATTGGTTTCTGGTGAGTTTGTGATTAGTGCAATGGAGCATGGGAAATGTAGTCCAGGGTGATGTGTAACAGTCTGTGTGGTGTGAGAGTCACTATAATGGGAGGGCGACCTCTGGTGGCAAGTGGATGGAAGTTAATGGACAGGATTCGTGACAACAGTCGCAAGCTCATCTGCATTGTTTTTCATAATGAATGCACTAATATTATCTGGTCCTGTAGCCTTCCTCTGATTTAATTGTTTAAAAGTGCTCCTCACCTGTTCAATTGTAAGATCAATTCTATCTGACCACTCTGGTCTGACTGAATTAATAATACTAATGCTCTGATCTGAAATATTCCCTTTATCAAACCTGGAGAAAATGTATTCAGTTGATTTGCAAAGTCAATCTCATTATCTACTACTAATGACTTCTGTGTAGTTGATAATCCAGACGTTCCCTTCATGGTATCCCATACCTGTTTTGCACGATTACTGTTAAAAGCATTTTCCAGTTTTGACCTATATGCCATCTTCGCCTCTCATATTTTCCCCTTTAACTCCTTTTCTAGACACTTTATTTGTTTTGTATCCTTCTTCTTAAAGGCAATCTTTCCCAAATTCATCACATGCTTAACATCTTTAGTTATATAAATCTTATTATTTAGATATATTTTTATCTCCTTTGTTGGTATCACTGATTGCACACAACAATCTATATAGTCTGTTATTACTGTGGATATTTCATTTAAGGAGCCATGATAAAACACCTCCCACATAGTACAATCAAAACATGCTTTAAGTTGTTCAATGTTGTCAGAAGACCAAACTCTGATCACTGTTTTCTCAGGTTTACTGCTTTTCAGCTTGGATTTATAAGGTCGAACAAGATGTACCACATTATGATCAGAATTTGCAATTGGTGGTCTTATCCTCGACACATGTGCACTATCCACATTTGCAAAACATTTATCTAGTAGATTACTCTTTCTTGTTTGCCCCTTCACATATTGCTTAAAGTGTTAGTTCACCCAAAAATGAAAATTAGGCTGCGTTTTACTCACCCCCGATGCATCCTAGGGGTATATGACTTTCTTCTTTCAGACGAATCCAGTCGGAGTTATATAAAAAATTGTCTTTGATCTTTCAAGCTCTATCATTTCAGTCGGCGGGTGTTGCATTGCTTCAATCCAAAAGACCTGAAATAAAAAGTGCCCTTCCATAAAAAAAAGTGTCTCACACGGCTCTGGGGGGTGAACAAAGACCTTATGTAGTGAATCGATGCATTTTTGTATGAAAAATATCCATATTCAAAACGTACTAATCACTTTAATCTAGCTTGCGCCAACAGTTGTACACAGAAGCAGTTCCGGGAGCATGACGTATGGGGTCAGCGTTGCGCATGCGCCGGTGAGTCTCGTGAAAACCAACGTTT